GAGCCAGAGCAGCCCAGGAATCCCAGCCCCCCCGGCGGGCTCTCCCTGCACCCCGACAGCAGCCCCGGGCACTTACCTCGGGGCAGAGACGCCGCTTCTCCCTGGACTCCCCGACCCGGTGCGGAGCGGAGCAAGCAGCCCCCGCCCGCGGGCTTCCAGCCGAGCCGCTCTCGGCCCGGCGAGCAGACGGCCCGCTCCGCGGTGTCCTTTGCAGGGGCGGCCCGGCGCTAGCAGCCTCCTCCCGCCCCATGGGCAGGGGCTGGCCGCTCGGCTAATGAGACAATTGGAGCGGCATGGGCGAGCCGGCCCAGCGGCGCCACCTGGCGGCGCAGCCCCGGCCCTGCCGCCCGGCTGGGACGCCCGCGGTCCCTCGGGTGGATCACAGGCACAGGGGCTTTCTGGAGCCGGGCAGCGGGAGCTTGCGCAGGCCCCAGCAGCTCGCATCCCATTGGCGAGAGTGACTCAGGCAACTAGGCCCCCCCATGTCCCCACAGGGCCTGAAGCCCAGAGCTTTGCGGGCACCCAACTCCTGCTGACATCAATAAGAACAGCCCTACGGGGTCAGACCAAAGATCCATCCAGCCCAGTATCCTGTCTTCCAACAGTGGCCAATGCCAGGTGCCCCAGAGGGAATGAACAGAACAGGTCATCATCAAGTGATCCATCCCCCGTCGTCCATTCCCAAGAAGCTCAGCATCACCCCCTTTTACAGATGGGGAAACCGAGGCAGAGAGCAGGAAAGTGACTTGCCTGAGATCACCCAGTAGCCAAATCAGGAATAGAATCCAGGTCTCCCAAGTCCCCGTGCAGTGCTCTAGACACTAGGCCGCAATGCCTGCCTGAAGTTAAGCCCCCTACTACCCTTGCCAAGCAGGGCCTAAGTCACTCCTGGGGGCCTCATTGGAAAGCTCTGGGAGGCGGGCGGGCGGAAGCCCATCTGCTTCTAAAGGCCCCTCCCCCAGCCTTCCGGGAGGGACCCCTGGACCCGAGATCCAAATGTGTGTGGGGGACAAGTACGAAATAACAGGGTCAGGAGTGAAGGCCAAAGATGCAAAACTAGGGATCCAGAGGGGGACACCGAGCAGAGAACCCCGGCTCCTGGGGGTAGCCCACAGGCACCTGTGTGACCTAGTGGCTCTTGGAAACCTGAACCAATGGCAAGAGTGACCAGAGCAGAGAATGACAATCACACACACACTCCGGCACACACCGAGGCTGGAAAGGAACCAGACTCAGCTGAGGCTAGTGGTGAGAACAAGGGGAAGTCATGGGGCCCGTCAGGCTGGCTCTGGAAGAGAGACAGTCACACTGGCACTGAGGTGCCCGTCTGATGGGGTGGGTGGTCAGCCGCTGGCATGGGCTGCCCGGGACAGGGCGGATTCCCCATCCCCAGCAAGAGGATGGACGTCTCTCTAAGAGCTCCGCTCTAGCTCAAGTGACTGGCTGCAGGCAGGAATCACTGGATGGAATTCTCCGGCCAGCTGGTGGGACGCAGCTCAGACTGGCTGGTCACAAGAATGGCTCCTGCTGTCCTTACGATCTACGAGGGAGCACAAGTGGGGGCAGGACGACAGAAAGGAGATGGCATAGGGGCTTCAGAGGCTCACACAATCCTTCCCCAGCTTCCCGTTTCTCCTCTGTAGACACCGTCCCCGCCACAGGCCCCACAGCCCTGCGTTCATTACCTCGGAAGAGCCAGATTGCAACACCAGGGTCACAGGCAATGTTGTCTGTGCTAAGGAACTGTGCCCAGCCTCATTGACAACTGACTGTGTTGTTATTTCTCTCCTCCTTCCTCCCCCCTGTAGCTCCTTGCCCCTCATCAGGGTGGTGGCAGGTTGAGGGATGCTCTGGAGGATCTGATACGATTAATTGGCTGTGTGTGCGTGCCACTGCCGTCTACTGGGTAGAATCAGAAGTGCTCATCTGTGTGGCATAAGCACTACACTGCTGCCGGCTGTTGGAGAATCTCCTTTCGCTCAAGTGGCAGGGGCCTGTGATTTCAAGCAGGGAGAGCCGAGTTCTGTGCATGCTGCTGGTGTGATGCTCTCTAGCACATAGCAGAGGGACCGTGGGGCTGGAGATTTGTTACAATCGCTCAGCTAGTCCCTCCTGCTGGCAGCCCCAAGACAACCTGGAGTCCTCAAATCCTGACATCCTCTAGGCACAGCTCCACGGAAATGCAGCCACCTCTACAGTGGGAGGTAGTGACCTGGCAACACAGCGCAGCCGGTGTGTGAGGGGAAACCTCGGCCAAAGGCAAACTCCAGCCTGTCAGGGAAATGCCCTGGACCCTTTAATGGGAAGGCAGGGCAGACAGAACCTGGGTTTACAGTTCCACACTTAATAAACAGCCTGGCACATGGGTTAGCTCTTTCTGATGGGGAACAAAGTGCTCCCAGGATTTGAACCTGTGGCTCTGGGGAATCTCAGTTGCCCACCTGCTGGTTGTATCCCAACACTGTCCCCTCCAGTGATGGCACTGAGCAGGTAAATAGCACTACCTGCTGACTATTCTGCAGCCACGCAGTGCAGAAGGGCTGACGTTGTACCTGTCATTACAGCTCCTCCTGCCTGGGTGCTGACCTGAGGACCACCTGCCCCGATCCCTCTCCCTATACACAGCGCCCGGGCCAAGGGACACCCTGCCCACTCCCACTGATTCAGTGGAGTTTCCTGGTGAGTAACTCAGAGCAGAAGGTGGCTGCCAGTGTGTCCAGCCCTGCTCAGACTTTATTCACTGGGGTGCGGGGAGTCTGCCTGGAACCCAGGGCCCACCTTTCACTTGTATGAAATGGGGGAAGTTTGCAGCCACCCTTGTTCCTAGCTAGGGCCAGTTATGTTCCAGCTGGGGAAACTCAGAGCCTTCTCTCAGTGCCTGGAGATACTAGTGTCCAGGAATCCCGCCAGTGCGTCCTAGCACTGCCCCTAGGATGGGTCAGTGTAATGGCCTGTGCGGCCCAAATCGCTGAGACCCCCAACTGGCTCTGCATCCTGCCCATGGAGGTCCAAGGCGAGCTCGGGGAGAGGCAGCTCAAGGAGGCCAGGCCTGGAAAGGGGTGGTACAGACATTGGGTCAATGTTGTCCTGACCCCTGGGTTGAGCCAGGCCATGTTGAATCGAGAGCCCCGACCACCAGAATCACTACAAGAGATTCCGGGGCAGGAGTAGGCTGGTCCCGCACAGTTGAGGCCAGGAGGCTGTCCGGGTTGAGTGTCTGTGAGGGAGCAGCTGGAGGCTCCTAAATCCCATCTGCCCCAGCTCGGAGCAGCCCCATCTCTCATAACACGCCAGCACCCCTTTGCTCACGAAATAACCTCCTGGTGCTCACAGAATGGTAGGACTGGAAGGGACCTGGAGAGGTCATCCAGTCCAGTGCCCTGCACCCGTATTATTTAGACCATCTGTGACGCATGGCCAGAAAGGGTTAAACATTCTGCAAAATAAACGACCTTCAAAAGACATGTGAGGAGATAATGTTTGTGTTTTTGTGTATTTACATAGGTATGAGTAGGGTAGACAATGTAATCAACAGTCGCTGTCTATGCTGCATTCTCATAATTCAGAGGTCAAAAGAGCATCCTATCATGTAAATGGATTGTAAACATGGGATATCTCCGTATTCATCTCTCTTTGAAATGTATAGCAAATACTCTGTGAATGGTGGAGGAACAAGCAAATTGCCTTATGTTAATTCTATGGCTAAGTACCAGTGAGGGACCTCCTCCACAGTCATCCTAATTACCTTTTGAACTCCCAACTTGTCAAAAGACATGAAAGTGTATAAAAGATCCTTAGGTCCTGGTTCTGTCATCTCAGATCTGCTTAAGCTTCATCAGGGGAAGTTTGAGTTGCAAGACTGAGGTCCCAGTTATGCTGGTACGCCCTGGATATGAGATTTGGACATTGGACTATAATCTATGAACTATTTCTGAAAGAACTCCTTGCAACGACACAGCTCACCATCTCTGCTATGAATCTGCACCTCACTGAATTGAACTCATGTCTATATGTATATTGATCTTTTAACCATACTCCCGATCTTTTGTTTTTTAATAACTTCTAGTTTAGTTAATAAGAATTGGTTGTAGTGTGTGTTTAGGTAAGATCTGGAATATTCAATAACCAGGGAGGTAATGTGTCCGATCCTTTGGGGTTGGTAGAACCTTTTCTTTTATAGGAGGAAATAAAATTTACAGAAATTTTAATCATAGTTGATGTGGGTACCTGGATGGAGGCTGGATCATTTTAAGGGAACTGTGTTGTTTGGACTTCTGAGTAACCAGTAAGGTAATAAAGAAGCTGTTCTGTGCTGGTTGGTAAAGCTTCGGAATATCCACCAGCTTTATGGGGATTGTCTGCCCCATTCTTTGCAGTTCACCCTGAGTGACCATAGCTGGCTCCCCACAAGGACCCCGGTCACACCATCCCTAACAGGTGTTTGTCTAACCTGCTCTTAAAAATCTCTAATGAGGGAGATTCCACAACCTTTCCGGGCAATTTATTCCAGTGCTTAACTCCCCCAAAGTTAGGAAGTTTTTCCTAATGTCCAACCTAAACCCCCCTGGCTGCAGTTTAAGCCCATTGCTTCTTGTCCTATCCTCAGAGGACAAGGAGAACAATTTTTCTCCCTCTTCCTTGTAACCACCTTTTATGTATTCATGCTTGGCCTGAGCAGGTCTGACAGGGCACATCGTGCCCCATGGTCTGCCATCACCCACCGAGTGTGAAGAGATGCTCTAGGGGGTGCCCAGCCTGGGGTGACTGGCGAGCAGCCGAGCTGATACAGAACAGAAATGGCTGCACCCAGCAGAGGGCAAGGGGAGCATGATCCGAGCTGGGACACTGCCCGCTGCTCAGAGCAGGTCTATCACATGCGGTGCATCCTGGCATTGGCAACAAGGGCGTCTGCCTCAGGGTTCCACTGGCCACAAGCTGCCCTTTGCCCTGCTGCATGGATTCCCGCCCGTCCCTGACGAACACCAGGCGGGGCCTTCGCATGGGGTGAGGCTGATCTTTAATAACAGAGGACAAGCAGATCAGGTTTCCCGGCACGAGCCGGCTCTTTACAGGCAGCTTGGAGGAGTCTGCCCTCCCCGCGTCCCCGTCCCCCCGCCCCCCAACGCGGCCGCATGCAGGCACAGGGTTCAACACAGCACGCTGGGTCCATGGAGGTGCAGAGGGCAGGCTCAGTGCCTGCTTCCCTTCAGAGGTCATGGTGGAGCAGATCTAGTGCTCTGTGCCCCCCAGGGAGAAAGCAGCGTCCCGCTTTGGGGTTCAGCTGGAGGAAAAGGACTAACAGCCCCTTCCCCCGGGATGCAGACACCTTCTGCAGCAAGGCACAGACTGGTAGATATTTATCGAGCGGGCACAGAGCGAGACTCCCTGCCAGGGAGAGCCCTGGGGGCAGCGATGGGGACTGGTCCCCATTAGAGGGAGCCCCCTGGAGGTAAGGCTGGGGGACTGGTCCTGTTAGAGGGAGCCCCATGGGAAGTTGGGGGAAGTGGCTGGTCCCCATTAGAGGGAGCCCCTGGGGAGGGCAAGGACTGGTCCTTGTTAGAGGGAGCCCCATGGGGGGTAAGGCTGGGGGATTGGTCCCTGTTAGAGGGAGCCCCACGGGCGGGACAGTGACTGGTCCCCATTAGAAGGAGCCCCACGGAAGTAAGGCTGGGGGACTGGTCCCCGCTAGAGGGAGCCCCACGAGGGGTAAGGCTGGGGGATTGGTCCATGTTAGAGGGAGCCCTATGGGGGATAAGGCTGGGGGATTGGTCCCCATTAGAGGGAGCCCCACGGAGGAGGTAAGGCTAGGGGACTGGTCCCTGCTAGAGGGAGCCCCACGGGGGGGGGGTAAGGCTGGGGGACTGGTCCCCGCTAGAGGGAGCCCCACGGGCGGGGGGGAAGGACAGGAACTGGTCCCCATTAGAGGGAACCCCATGGGGGAGGGAAAGGACAGGGACTGGTCCCCGCTAGAGGGAGCCCCATGGGGGAGGGAAAGGACAGGGACTGGTCCCCGTTAGAGGGAGCCCCATGGGGGAGGGAAAGGACAGGGACTGGTCCCCGTTAGAGGGAGCCCCAGAGGCAGTGCTGGAAGCTGAGCTGAGTGACTGGGACAGGGAAGGGGGGGTCTGTTACTAGGAGAGGCAGAGGCCCGTCCCAGTGCCGAGCTCCCCAGCAACAGCCACCAAAAGGGTCCTGCTGGGAATGTCCGTGGGGGCGGGGGCTGGTCTGGTCCAAATCCCCATCTCCTCGTTCCTCTCCTTGTCTCAGGGCGCGACGCCGGCTCTGGGTAGGCTGCAGGAGCCTGAGTCGCAGATGCAGCTTCCTCTTGGCTCGTGCTGGGGTGTGGGGCAGGGGGATGTTACACAGGGGCAACGTAATTGCCAGGGAAGGTGCCGAATTTCTGGGTTCTCCTGGACACACCTGGGGGTGGGAAGACAAAGGGAGGGCCATGAGGGAGGGGTCTGAGGCTGCCCTGCAGAGAAACTTACCTCCTTCCAACACCACCCTCTGCCGGACGGCCCTGAGGCTGGTGTTCCCCCCATGGGCCGGTCCTGCACCATCCCCTACGGCGCCCCCGCTGGGAGAGGCTGGGACTGGAGTCACTAGGAGCTCCTGTCCTGCTCCCCCCCAGCACTCCCATGGATAGAGTCTCCCTCCCTCCACCTGTTAGGCTCCCAGCCGGCAAACGTACCCACAAACCAGCCGTCGTCACACTGCTGCATGACGTCCACCCAGTCCCCTTCATGCAGCTCCAGCTCGTCCTCGTTCTGGGGTCTGTACTGATAAATGGCCCGGAACCTGCAAGGCACCATCAGCCCGTGAGATCCTGCTCCCACCTCAGTACAGCTCATGCGCTGGCCTGGCACAGTGGGTGCTAGGAACCGAGCCGGGCCCACCGAGTCAGCAGAGCCCCCTCCCTCCCATCGGCCGCTCCCGCACTGCATCGACAGAGACAGGCGTGTTGGGGGCACTCAGCCCGCCAGCAGGGGGTCTGCAGTGTTGGGCAGGCACCTGGTACAGCTGCCAGCAGCATCCGCTGGTCGCAGCTCACTGAGCAAGCGGCTCTGAAAAGGCCCTTGTTTGGGGTAACAATTCAGACACTGTTCCAGCCCAGCGCCTCAGCGGGGTGTCTGCAGCCAGCCCTCGGCACGGGTCACTTCCCCAGGCTGGCTTGGCTGGCTTCCAAATGGAGTAGGAGGTCCCTGCTCCTCTCCGCCCTTCACCGAGACAGAGAAGCCGTCGATCCGGCTACACTTACGGGGTCCACTGTATGCTGGAGCCGTTGTCAGATGGGGGGGCCTTGGGGAGGTGCCCAGCACCACCCAGATGGCAGCCGGCAGGTACTGGGGCTTCAAGGGTGGAGCTCTGCAAGGGAGAGGGAAGAGTTTGGTGCACTAGACAATGCGAGCAGCGCTGGGAGAGGGTGCTGGAGGTGGAGGGGATGGGCACTCCCACTGCGTCACTGGGGGAATTAGCCCAGTGGTGGGGAGAAGGGAGGGAGAGAGCCCAGAGGATAGATGCTGACCCCCATGCATGGGGGGCTACAGGGGAGGGTGGTTGCACTCCAGGGGTGCGTGCAGGTTCACCAGCTGTCCTGGGACAGCTGCAGGGGCTGCACTGGAGGGAACTGGGGTTCTTGCGCTGCAGGCTGGGCAGGGCAGGGCCCCTGGGGCAGGGCGATCCGGGGAAGGAAGGACTGAAGGAGAAGCACGACTGTCTCACCTGCCCAGGGAGTGAGGAGGGCGCAGCAGCGGGTGGAGTCTCCTGTGGCCGGGAGGGGGCCGGAGGCTGCGGGCTCGGGCTCAGACTCAGCGGGGAGAGCAAGGTGGTGCTGGGGGCCAGCTGGGGACTCTGGGGCCCCTGCAGGATGCTGGATGAGACTCCGGCGTGCTGCAACTTGGGGGAGGCGGGGAAGGTGAAGCCGAAATGGCGCGGCGAGGACGACAGGGCGCCCCCCTCTGTGCCGCGCCGTTGGGCAGTGGGAGAGCCCGCCAGGAAGGAGGACGAGGGGTCAGAACGCTGGCTACCGGGCGAGTGCAGCTGGGCCGGTGAGCCTGCGTGTGCCAGCAGCCTTGGGGAGGCAGGGGCAGTCAAGTTTGGGGAGGAAGGGAACTCCTCTGAGGCCTTGACCCGTGGCTCCTTCACCACTTGCACGTAGTTGGCCGGGAAGATGCCCTGGCGGCTGGTGCCAGAGATCCGTCCCTCATACCAGTTCTCATCCACCTTGCGGACCAGACAGATGCGCTCGCCCTGTGGATGGAGAGAGGGGCAAGGTTAGGAGCCCCCGGGATAGGGACATGCCACACGTCAGCCTGTGTTGCATCCGTCATAAGGCTTCCTGCCCTTCCAGAACAGACCAGCCCACCCTGGTACTCTTATCTCCTGCTCCAGCAGGTCCAGCCAGTCTGGTTTCCTGCCTCCTAGCCCCACTGGTCTGTCCAGTCGTGCGATGTCCAGTCCAGCCGGCTGCGCAGTGCTGTGCCACGGAGGGGAGTGCCGCTGGTGCTGAGCAGCTCAGCCCCCAGAGGAAGCCGCCTGAGGGTAATGCTAGTTTTTAGCCCAGCAGGCGTCACTACGACATGGCTCTTTGCAAGTGGATTCAGTGCTGGGGAAGGGCTCTGGACCGGCCACTCTGGAGACCAACACCTTCTGAGCAGCCACAAAACAGGTTCGGGCCAAGATCACCTGATGCTAACCTCTGAGGACAGGACAAGAAGCAACGGGCTTAACTTGCAGCCAGGGCGGTTTAGGTTGGACATTAGGAAAAACTTCCCAACTGCAGGGTGGTTAAGCACTGGAATAAATTGCCCAGGGGGATTGTGGAATCTCCATCATTGGAGATTTTTAAGAGCAGGTTGGACAAACACCTGTCAGGGATGGTCTAGATAATACATAGTCCTGCCGTGAGTGCAGGGGACTTGACTAGAAAACTTCTTGAGGTCCCTTCCAGTCCTATGATGCGCCACCACCCCACACATGCTTAGGGTGACCAGACAGCAAGTGTGAAAAATCGGGACAGGGAGTGGGGGGTAATAGGATTCTATATAAGAAAAAGACCCTAAAATCAGGACTGTCCCTATAAAATCGGGACATCTGGTCACCCTACACATGCTGCATCCCCAGCTCAGTCCCCAGGAGAGACCAGTGCAGGGGTAGTCAGGGGACAGAGGGGTTAGTCCGCATCACATAAGCTGGGTCCCTCTCCACTACGCCCTGTCAGGGACGAGTCCCTGAGGCTGCCAGCTATAGGGCCAGGCGCTGGTCTGAGACCCAGCAAACAAAGTTCATGGAGGCCACTGAACAGCTGTAAGATGGGAATGACTTTTGGTCATTACCAGCCTGGGCTGGCACTGAACTGTGACCTGAAGGTAACAGCTTCTGCAATGAGGTTCCTCGTGACCGTTCTGTGCTCCCCGCGCCCAGCACCCTTTACCGGGCGGGTTCTGTACCTTGCGGAAGGACAGCTCCACCGCCAGGTCCCCTTTGAAGTTGTACTGAGCCAGGGCGTCTCCGTACTCCAGCACCTGGATGGTGGGTGGCTTGATGGGCTTGGGCACTTCGGTGGGAGGCAGGATCTGTTTGTGAGAGACAGGGAGCAGGGTAAGCGGAGCACGGCAGCGGCTGGTGGGAAGCTGTTTGTCCGGAGCGCCCCATCCAGCCCTTGCCTCGATACTGCCCCCTCTTGCTGGGGTGGGGCATGTTCCATTTCAAGACCCCCAAGTGTAGGGGAAAGGGGTTAACCTTTCAGTGCTGCTGGCCCTCTCCCTGTACCCTGCTATCAGCCAGTCATGTCAATGGGATATTAGGAAACGCCTGGTCTATTCTAGCTCCGCAGGCTCGGCACATCCAGCCTGTTCAGTAGCAGCGGAGAGATCTGGGCTGTGCTTGGGAAGAGGGAGCTGTTGGGTCTGGGAGCGCTCCGTCCCCACAGGGGGGCAGCTGGTCCTGCCAGGGTTTCCGCTGTCCTGGTGTCTGAGGGCAGGTCTTCACTACGGGTGTGGGGGGGGTCGATTTAAGATACGCAAATTCAGCTACGCGAATAGCGTAGCTGAATTCGACGTATCGGAGCCGACTTACCCCGCTGTGAGGACTGCGTCAAAATCGACCTCCGCGGCTCCCCGTCGACGGCGCTTACTCCTACCTCCACTGGTGGAGTAAGCATGTCGATTCGGGGATCGATTGTTGCGTCCCAACGAGACGCGATAATTCGATCCCCGAGAGATCGATTTCTACCCACCAATTCAGGCGGATAGTGTAGACCTAGCCTGAGTTACCTTCGGGCTGCGGGAGGGGTTGGAAGAGGGTGTTGATGGCTGCCCCTGTTCAGATGCAGGCGTGATACCAGCACTGGCCACTAGAGGGCACGTCTCTATTATGCCATGCACCTGTGCCAAGTGCTGAATTGAGAACACTGTCCAGGGAGCAGCTTGCCAGCCTCGATGCCGAGTTCAGGACCCGCCCTGGGTGGTGCCCCTCCCGCCAGGCTTGCAATCGTGTTAGCAGCAGCCCCGTCCTTACCTCCACGTAGTTGGAGGGGAATATGCCCACCCTCCCATAGTGCTCTCCTTCCAGCCAGTTCCTGTCCACCTCCTTGTGGATATAGACGATGTCTCCCTTCTGCATGGTCAGCTCCCTGAAAGGTCAAGGCAGAGCATCATGGCTCACAGGCCCTTCCCGGGGGCTGGCGCCTGCCCCCTTCAGCCAGCAGCTCCCTTGCCCCTAGAGACATCCGCGGGGTCAAAGAACCGCCTATGACTCCTGATGCTGGGCTGAGTCCTGGCTCCCTGCCCTCAGCAGGGACACATCTCAAGGCCTGGCTGTAGGGAGTTCACTTGCTGCTGACCCGGTCCCACCGGATGCCCACTTCGCAAGGGGCCTGATGATGGAGCCCGAGGCTGAGCCAGGCATTAGGTTCACCCTTCAGGACATGCCAGCCCCACTCTGGTCCATAATCACTCCCCTGGGAAGACTTCACTTCCATGCATTCTTCTCTGATGAGGTTAGACCCAGTGAGGGAGAAGTCAGCACCCTCTTCCCGGCCTGCCCCAGCTGCTCTCCTCTCTCTGCAGGAGCAGCCAGGGGACAGAGGGGCTAGCCCACATCGCATAGGCCAGGTCCCTCTCCACCATTCCCCAAGGATTCAAAATGACCAACGAAACCCACCCAGGAGAGGGAGAAAATACAGGCCAATTCCACAGCTGGCATGGTGGCTGAGTCCACCAGGACAGAGAGGGATAGCTACACTGATAGGAACAGACCCGCTCAGGGGACCTCGGGTCTGGAAACAACAAAGATCCACTGAGTGCCACTTACTTTGGGGACTCAGCCTGGAAGTCAAACTTGACGCGAGCAGCTTTCATCTGGGGTGGGGGAGAGAAAGGGTCAAAGAGGGCAAAACCAAATCAGATCACAGCCAGAGCCCCGGGGTCCTAGGAAGGTCCTGGTCCCAGGCCCCCAGCCAAGTCCAGTCCCTAGAACCCAGCCTCCTACCCTGTAGTCACTGATTCCTGAGGGAGATCCAGAACCCACCCACTGCTTGGTCACTTCTCCCAGTGCTCCTGGGTCCCCTGAAAAGATGCCAGCCCCAGTCACTGGCTAGTTCTTCTCTCCCGTACACAGACTGGTGGCAGTCTCCCTTGTCTAGGCCCCCTAGCCCTGCAGCTGGCTCGGTAGCATCTATGGTTAGTTGGCACCACGGCAATCCCCAGAATCCATGACTGGTCCCAGGCCCGCGCTAGCTGGATGGAAAGTGACCTGCTGCCCCGCCAGCTGCAGACACACCTGCAAGCTCTCTCCCATGTCTCGCCAACCCAGTGTCCCAGCTCTGTCAGCTGCAAGTGGAGGACGTTCCCAAGGAAAAAGGCCGTGCCTCACCTTCTTGTCCTCTCTCCTCACTGGTCCATCCACCGCCTCTATGGGCTCACTTTCATCAGCCAAGGGGCTTTTCCCAGGGTGGCCTGGGGGATCTGCAGAGAACCATGAAACAGGGGGATGAGCACGTCATCCTCTGGTGGGGCACTCACAGCTCTCCTGACAGCCCCCGTGGCTGAGGAAGGCGGGTGTTACGAGGAGACACCCAGCACTGTTCCAATACCACGGGATGCTCTGAATCTGCAGAGACAAGACGCCAGCGGAGGTGCATTTCCCATCCCCATATCCAGCCATGGGCATGGGAGGGCTCCACACACCACAGGCGGCTGAGTTGGAAGGACCAGGACACCTGGGTTCTGAGTGCCTGCACCTCTCCCAGACTGCAAAGAGGCGGCGTAGTCCAGCGGTTGGGAGTCAAGAGACCTGGTTCTAGTCCCAGCTCTGCCACGAACTTGGACGAGCTGCTTCCTCTCTCTGTAGGCTGAGGACGATCACTCTAACCCGCCCCTCCAGTCTGGACTCACTGTCTCAAAGTATTAATAGCACCTCTAGCTTGTCTCAGATCTCAAAGCACTTTACACAGGAGGTCAGTGTCATTAGCCTAATTTTACACTGAAATTGAGGCAGAGTGGGGAAGTGACTTGCCTGAGGTCACCCAACAGACCAGTGGCAGAGCCAGGAACTGAACCCAGGTTTACCAAGCCCCAGTCCAGTGCTCTATCCACTAGATGATACAGCCCATTAACATTCTCCTGACAGCTCCCAGGCACACAGACTCCTTTGCATCTACCAAAATAGACTCAAATAAGCAAATTTCTGAATTTCTGCCAATCCAGCTACTCCCCAGTGAACATGACCAGAGCTCTGCTACTGGGGTACATCTACACCAGCCAGTGCCTGAATTACAGCTCTCTGTCTGTGACACCATCCACTCTTAGGTCATTCATATGGAGCAGCACAATAGGTCCAGAGCCAGGTTGGGTTGGGCCAGGAGACAACTGTGCACCCACAAGCTGCTGCCTTGTTCTCCAGAATCTCCACTTCCATTAAAAAAAAAAAAAAGAGTATGTTAAACATAAGAACAGCCACATTGGGTCAGACCAAAGGTCTATCCAGTCCAGTATCCTGTCTACCGACAGTGGCCAATGCCAGGTGCCCAGAGGGAGTGAACCTAACAGGTAATGATCAAGTGATCTCTCTCCGGCATCCATCTCCACCCTCTGACAAACAAGAGTCTAGGGACACCTTTCCTTACCTATCCAGGATGGGTAAGCCAGTTCTTATGTTCTTACGTCGTTGCGGTTGGGAAGAAAACCTTGAAAACTTGAAATACGTGCAGGTAATGCAGTGACATCTGCCTGAGTCTGCAGATTGCCCCTCTCAGAGCGATTTTTGCAGGCTAACTGCCCCATTCATCTCAGTGCGGGTTAGCTCGGATGCCATCAGTGACACTTAAGTGTCAGCAGAGTTAAATAGGTCACTACTCCAGTGGGCAGAGCTTGGTTTTTGGGTGGAGCTTGGAAGGGTATGGCTCTCTTCCCCACACCCCAGTTCGACCTCTGCCCAAAACCCAGTGCAAAGGGAGGAGCCCTTAGATGGCTGGGTTGAGTCCGCGGGCAGCTGGGAAGCCATGCCACTGGGGTGCGGAGGGGTGGATGAGACCAGTGCATGTAGCATCTTACATCCACGATTTGACCACAGGTGAGCCAGAGAGGGAGGCTGGGTGGGGAAAAGGGGAAGGGGAAAGGCAGATGTCAAGGTAGTACTCAAAGCGGGGGGAATGGCTCCATGGTTTGGGGGGGGATTCCCAGCAGACAGGACAGTATGAGTGAAGGAGGGATTGGAGAGGGCTATAGTGGAGGAGTGAGCAGCAGCAGAGGAATGGGGGTCAGAGGGCAGAGAGGAATAGCTCCTCGAAGGACATGGCTGTGTGCTGAGATCCTCACCTTTCCTGGGGGGAGACTGGCTCCAATCGCTCGGGGCCAGGCCCAGGCCCCCTCTCTCCATGCTGGGGCTGGCAGGCGGGCGGTGTCGGGCAGCGGGGGGGCTCTGCCCCAAGGCAGGATGGGAACGGCAGGCACACAGCGGGCTGCTGGAGCAAGAGCAGAAAGTCAGTCAGAGAGACTATGGGCCTCTGTGGATAACCAGGCCCAAAACCAGGGAGCCCCGGCCCGATCCCAAGAGGAAATCAAGGGACCAGGTCATGGCTGGTGATCCATAGGGAGGGATTATCTGCTAGGACGCACAGCCCACGCAGCAACACACAGACCCTGCATGCCTGCCCCCTCCCCCTCTCGACGGCTCCCCACAGACCGGTGCCATGCCTTTGGGAACAGCTAGAGCCTCCTATTCCAAGGGCCTGGTGGTGGTTGGCTTGGGAGTCCTAGGGGGTGTAACGTAAGCAGGGCGCTGACAGCATGGCGTGCCCCCCCCCAGCAAGGGTGGGTTCCTGTGGGGGAGAAGCGGGGTAACTGGGGCTCCAGTCAGGGAAGGGAGAGAGCTACCAGGCAGCCTACTGCACCCCAGGGACAGCCCTGCCCAGACCCCTTGGAGCAGACGCACAGCGTACCCCCAGCTCAGCCAGGGGCTGCTTCTAACAGGATGCCGAGGGCACAGACTCCAACCGCCGGCATTACTTCACCGGTGCAGAGCTATGGCCAGGAGCAGCTGACACGGGGTGTGTCCCCCTGCTGGGTCCCACCTCCACCGCCCATGGAAAACAAACCAGCCCCAGAGTCTCTGAGCAGCCAGCCAGCCCCACCTGGCTGCCAGGCAACCCGAGACACAGCCCCTGCTCTCGGGCTGCTTCCCCTCCTCCCCCATGGCCCCAAAAGAGCCAGACCCCTGCTCCCACCCAGAGAGCCAACCCCTCCCTACATCTCACCCACAGCCAAACCAGGAGAAGGCTGGGGGTCAGGACTCCTGGGTTCTCTTCGAAGCTCCAGGAGCAGAGTGGGGTCTAGTGGGTTAGGGTGGGGGGCTGGGGGTCGGGACTCCTCCCAGCTGGAACTAGAACCCAGAAGGGAACGACAGGAATCTGGGTTTTGGCCTTGCAGCTGCCCCTGCCACTTCCTCTTTACCCCTGCGGGCCATTGTCCTGGCCAGGTCCTGGCACGCCCTGCCCCCCTCAGCCAGAGTGGGTACACGACGTTTGCTCCTACCCTGGCAGCCAGGCGGGTAGCGCTGGTTCCTCCCTTCCCTGTGCAGGGCCGCGCGGCAGGAAGCACTGAGACAGCAGCAACAACAAGGAGTTGGCAGGCTACAGCCACTTGGCTAAAGTTTAACTTTGAATTCTTAAAGGAACAGCGCCTCTTTCCCAGGCACCTGAGCGATGCAGAGGGAAAACAAGTGGGCCTCCGGAGAGGGTGTGTGGCAGAGCAGGACATCTGGGGGAGGGGCACCTTGCCCTATGCCCCCCTTGTCCAGAGACAGACAGGGAGTGCACTTCTCTCGTGACTTGCTCCCTGTCCTCCTCCCCGAGAGGCCCCTATGGATCCACTACAGCCCCCAGGAAGGAAAGCAAAGGCCTGGCTTCTTGCAGGGCCGAACCGCCCATTGTTTATGGTAGGACCTACAAGTGGAGTGTTTGTTTTTGATTCCTGTGGCTGCAGGGACAGAATCTGAGGCTTCAGAGGAAGGTTTCCTGGGAATTCTGCTTAACTCCTTGTAGGCGCTGCCCTTGTGACTGATGGTGAGAGAGAGCGAGGAACCGCCCCGGATACTGAACACGCTGAAAGAATGTGATGATCTGCTCCAAAATGCAAGTGCATGGAAAGAGCAGACAGACCCCAGGCTCCGAGCTCAGGTCACGCCTATGCTGGGAAACATCTGCGTTGCTGTGGGGTGGGACCTGACAGAGCTCAATGTGAACTAAGCTGGCTGGCTGGAAAATCCCTACAACGGGGGCATGCGACACTGGAAAGGCACCTGGCTGGGAGCTGCAGCCCCATTACCTGCTGGGGAACAGCAGGCTGTTCAGGGCAGCGGTGGGGCGCTCGAAGGTGTGTGCTCACCCAGGCACACCCTGGCATAGAGGCCCGCACGGCCCCTTGGGGACGGCTGCTAGTTGCCACCAATCCTCTGGTCCTCCAATTCCTTCCCAAGTGCCCTCTACCCCCGCTGCCCAGAAAAAGCGGTTCTGAGGAGCCCTAACTCTTGAGGCTTAACTTATGAGCAAGGGGCTCTTCTTTCCTTCCTCTCTTCTCCCGTCACACCCTTCCTTCCTCTCTCTCCGCCTCGCTCGCTCTTCAGCTCTCCCCCGCTCCCCCCTTTTCTGCACCTCTCGTAATCTGCTCTGAGCTCACCAGCCCCAGGCAGCTGGGCGGACCGAGCTGCTTGCGGGATGACGCCAGCTAACCAAAGGCTGCCTCACCTGGGCGGGGGACGCCCGGCATGCCAGCCCGAACACCCCGTTTTACCTGGCTGTACTCACCGGGCGACAGAGGCTGGGCAAGGGGAGCAAGCGCAGGGAGCCGCCGAGGAAGTCTGCAGGGAGAGACAGCGAGAGACGGGGGGGAAAGAGAAAATTAATCATCCAAGAGGCTGTCTTGTGCGGGAAGCCGGAGTCTAAGTCCTGGCAGTGAGGAGCCAATAACAAGCCAGCAGGGAGAGCTGGCCCATCCGGCAGGGAAGGAGAGACAGCCAGTGGGGCCAGAGCAGGGTCCTAGAGTCCAACATCTCTGCGGGGGGAGGCCAGGGGTCTCGGCGCCATGGCCCCTGCAGAGAGAGGGGGACAATTGCAAAGGAGGCAGGCAATCAGACCAGGGGTGGGCAACCTATGGCACGCAAGCCCATTTTTACTGGCACGCTGCTGCCAGCCGGGGTCCTGGCCACCGACCCCGCTCAACCCCCTGCCTGCCTGGGTGAACGGAATCCTAGGCCGGCAGCGGGCAGAGCAGGGCCGACAGTCAGGACCCCGGCTGGCAGGAGTCGGCGGCCGGAACTCCAGACCGTCAGCTGGCTGAGCCGCTCAGCTCACCGCCGGTCTGGGATCCATCCGCCAGCCCCGCTCAGCCAGCTGCCGGTGTAGGGTTCTGGCTGCCAGCCCCTTGCCAACTGAGGTCCCGGCCCCGCTCAGCCCGCTGCTGGCCTGAATTGACAGAAGCCCGGGCCGGCAGCGGCTGAGTGGCTCAGCACGGTGCTGGTCTGGAGTTCCGTTTGCTGCCTGCACTGCCTGTCTGGGGTCCCAGCCGCTGGCCCCGCTCATCCCGCTGCCGGCCTGGATGGATGGAACCCCGGGCCGGCATCAGCTGAGCGGGGCCAGCGGCCGGGACCCCGGCTGGCAGGAGCCGGCGGACAGAACCCCAGACCGGCAGCGCAGGTTGCAGACAGAACCCCAGACCAGCAGCGTGCTGAGCTGCTCAGCCTGCTGCGGGTCTGGGGTTCCATCCGCCAGCCCCTGACAGCCAGGGTCCCTGCCGCCGGCCCCGTTAAGCCCGCTGCCAGTCTGGGGTTCTGTCAGGGGCCCCTGTAAATGTAAAATTTATTTTGGCACGGGAAACCTTAAATTACTGAAGACTTGGCACACCACTTCTCAAAGGTTGCCGACCCCTGCAATCAGACAGACAGAGGGCCAGGGCCAGGGCCATGGAGATAGGGGGAGGCAGAGAGATGGGGAGACAGGCAGGGAGGGACAGAGGTGTCTCGCATAAACTCCCAAGCTGCCACCCAAACCCGGGCCCACGGGGTTTGTCAGGGCGAATGGGGGACCTGGGACTGGTTCTTTTTATTGGGGTCGGGGGGAGGGAGAGAGCAAGGCTGGCAGATGGATGGAGGACAGACGGACAGTGCCTAGATGCTATGGTGACGGCGTGTTAGAACTACGACAGGTGGATAAAGGAAGAGTCTATCTCGGGATAGGCAATAGATTAGATTAGACAGAGGAATGAATGCGGGGGTAGGCAGGTGTTACAAAATAGCTAAACAGACAGTGCCTTTGGGGGCAGAGAGGGTCCAGAGACAGAGCCTGGTACCCCGCGTGGCTATTGGCAGAGAGGGCTGGGCAGCGCCAGGCCTGGATGAGGCTTTGACACCGCTACCTGCAGAGCGCCTCGTGTGGGTACGCTTGCTGGGGATTAGCTCAGCCAATCCAGGCCCGTGCAACCTTTGTACCCTGGTGGCGAGGTCTGTAAGAGCTTCCCCTACCCTCGATACTGGGGTACCCTGGCGCTGCCCGCCCATCCCAGCCAGCAAGCAGAGTTGCTGGCAACGTCTCCACTGGGCACAGAGTCAATGCCAAGCTCCTGATTCCTGAGGAGAGTGAGGGTCTGTGAGCATGTGGACCAACCTCCCTGTCCCCCTGAGCCAGCCAGCCCCACAATCTGGGGCTGGATTAGAGTCAGTGCCCCCGAGGGGGGGAGAGGCCCTGTATCCCTGCGACCCAAGAACCTCTTAATGCCAGCTGTCAAGGGGCCCAGAGGTATATCCTGATTCGGGTATGTTCACTGTGGTTCACCAAAGACCGTCATGCGAGGTCTCAAATGAAAGCCAGTGTCCCACTGGTTGCTAGTATCATGGGGAAGGGTACGTACTGATGCTCCATCAGGCACTAGGGCTGTATACGGACGGACAATATGTCCGTAGAGTGTGGATCCAGGCACCAGTCCCCAGCAGGAGCTCTGCCAGTGGGAGGTGAGAAACGGACAGCTCTCCATCGGGATGCAAACTCAGCGCCGTGTGCTGACACAACGGATGTCATTTACACGCGGAGCCAACCCAGAGATGTGAAGTCGAGGCAAAACACCCCTCCCTTCACGCACACCAGCCCCTGCTGCTCTGCAGTGATGAGCGCAGGCCCCAGGAGGCGCTGGCGAGGCCTGCGGGGTGGAAGAGAGAAGAGGATGTGGAAGGGAAAGGGCACCAGCTGAGCCAGTTGGTCAGCAGGAGCTGGAAGCAATAAGCAGCGATAGCTATGTGGAAAGGATTGCCCCCGGGCAGTGGAGGCAGGGGGGGTACCTTGCAGGGGTGCCGATGTGTCTCCAGGGCTTTCATGTCCTTGTCCAACTCCTCGCTAAGCTGCTGCAGCTCTCTCTCCAGTAACACCTGGTTGGGGGGAAGATGGACACAGCGTGCGTCAGGGCCCAGCCAGCACCCTGCCTGGTCGCACTCTCGGAGGGGGTGAGGCCGGGCCGATGCCAGGGTGTGACCCTGCCCGGTGGTGCCGGAGGGGTGGTGGTGGGGGATGCACATTGACGTGATACCCCAGTGCCAGGACACCGCAAAGGTGCATCGGTACCACACTGGCATGGTGTGGTGTTGCCACGGCGACGGGGCGTGGCGGTGCCACGGGGTGAGGATGCCACGGTGCTGTGGCCACATGGTGCGGCTGTTGCCTTGTCAGCACTACAGCCTTTGCTGACCAATTTAAACCTCTGCCCGACCTCCCATGCCGTGAAAGGCAAGGGGGGCGGGGGAACAAAGCACCATGGAAGCCAGTGAACACAGCTGCAGAGCAGCTGAGCGGGGTGGGCGGGGAGTGCACATTGCGGGGGAGGGGCCATAGCCCAGCCACGACCCCCTCCCCCCTCTCAGGCATTTAGCACACGCTCACTGGGCGGCATCCCATGGCGCAGAGCAGCCCCGGCTTTGCTAGCGCGTGCCTGGCACATGCCCTGGATGGCCCAGCTGCACGGCACTTACCTCGATCGGCTGGGACGGCGGGGGAGGCTCTGCAGGAAACGGAGCCAGGGGCTTCTTAGGCTGCAAAAGTCAACAGGGCCGGGGGAGTGGGCAGCAGTCAGCAAAGCACCAGCTCTAGCAGGGACTGGGAGAAGGTGGATCCGCTCCAGCCAGGGAGCGCGGCAGGATCATCCCCCCCACCCCCCCCAGTGGTGCTCCTGCCACTCCCGCTGACTGTTCTCCAGCCACCGTGCTCCCTCCAGGAGGATCTCAGGGTTCCTCCATTGCAAGGCGGGTGGTGAGCCCGCCCTGGGCGTGGGGCAGGGAGCCAGCAGCCCGTCTCTAGGCGGGGCTGGTATAGGGGCCAGTGCACACTGAGCGAGGCCAGCGGGATGTCACAGGGCTCATGGGGCCGCAGGGAAAGTCTCTTGCGAGGGAAGACACTGATGGGACATGGCAGGAAAGGGGGGGCAAAGGGACATGGGGGGAGCTGAGATAGCGGCAGGCAGCCCTCTTGATCCCACTGCCCCCATAGCAGCTGGGGAGGGGAGGGGGAAAAGAGCACCAGGAGGCTCTTACCAGGCTCCCCGTCTCCAGCTCCTTCAGAAATTGGTACCAGCTGTCAGCACGTCCCGCCTGGGGCTCTGCAGCCTGCAGTTGGGACAGACAGAGAGAGCCACCCTAGCACATTCCTATGTCAGGCCCCGGCCAGCACTCCTGGAGCTGCCGCCTGGGAATCTCGCCCTGCACAGCAGCCACACACGTACACGTCATGCCGGGCCACGCTGTCACCCCCCCCCCACTGTAGCCTCAGGCTCCGCTTACCAGCCCTCCCACCCAGCGCCACGGAGCACAAGCCAGGGATCAGGCGGGAATGGCACACAGGAAGGCAAACAGCAGGCTGCAGCTCTCATGTGCAGCTCTGGGGCCGACCCCTGGAGCAGCGCCGGCACAAGGGGCTGACCCAGGACGGATCCCAAGAGTTCGACAAGATCAGATCAGTGCAGGCTTTCTCCAGCCGGGAGACGCCAGCGCAGCTAGACGGAGCGCAGTCTGGGCTCCGCTTCCCCGCTCAGGCTGTCCTGCATTAGTGCAGACCCCCTAGAAAATGCTCCCAGCCCAAGAACTAGCCAGTATAACGGAGCTAAGCTGTATGGAGACACGTCTGTGCCAAAGGAAATGCCAAGAGCTCCCCCCCCCCGCCCCCAGAGCAGGCCCGGGGTGGTGCCCAGGCGGGGAAGGCTCCCTACTGGATTGGGATGGTCAAGGACGGACGATTTCCCGGGTTCATAGTCGAAAATGCTCCTGGGCTCCATCGCGGCATCGTCGGCAGCCTCCTGGCCCCTCCTGCGGGGGAAGGGAGTGGGGTGACAGCAGCTCTGCCCTGCTGCCTAGCTCCCGAGGGCATCCCAATGTGCTTGCAAAGGGCACTGCTATTCCCTTCAACAGGGCTGCATGGCGCCCCCTGCCTCCCGATCATGGGCGACACGCAGGGGCAGATGCCTCCCACCGCTCCCTGCAGCACAGGGGCTGTGCTGGAGCACTGTGATCAGCAAGGGGGAGAGCGCCCCCTACTGAGCCACCCACCCCTATAACACAGCACCCCTAGGGCCATGCTGGGGCATTGGCATCAGCACTGACTCAGAGGAGGGAGTGCCACCCACCCGGCCGCCGGCAGCCCAGGTTCCAGGTGCCCTTACCCCTGGCCTCAGGGCTGGGAGCTATAAGAGGCACTTGAGTGGCTGTTAAGACACCAAGATTTTTCCTTTAACAGCCATCCCATCATTGCAGACCCTTGTGAAGCAGAGGGGCTTTGTCCAGTGGCGGCTAAGCTGGGTGTAATCATGTGACAGGGAGAGAAGCATGCTGGGGATCCCACCACCTCGCAGGATTCACCAGTGCCCCTGCAATTTGTCCTTATCTACTAGGGGCTGCTCAATCCCTGCAGGGGACAAAGTTGGACATGAGAGGGTCCCAGAGAGGCAGCCAGTCACACCAAACCCAAGCATCACGATTTAAACCTTAGACACAAAGGGTTTCCCATTTGCAGAATGACCTTCTTCGGCTGTGGCTTAACAGTGGATGGAAACCTGCTGCCTGGCTCTCGCAACCCTGCGCCGTGCCAGCAGGGTCCCAGACAGACTGGGGGGAAAAGCTCCAACAAACTTCATTTTCCAAGCTGGTGGAGGGTTTGTATGGAAGAAGAGCAGCCCCTCCCTGGCCTTTGCAGCAGGGACATACCTGCTGGGATAGTGCAATAGGACACACCCATCTGGGCACAAAGAACAGGAAAAGCCTGCGTAGATGAGGTGGCATTTCTTTCCACACAGTGCTGTTATCCTGTGGAACTCGCTGCTGCAGGATGTTGCTGCTGAGGCCAGTGGTTTGAAATTTGGATTCATTGCTTTATTCAAAGAGACTCTGCACCTCCACCCCTAGCCAGCATCAGATTAGAAAGGCCCTCAGTCCTCATCCTTCAGGGTACAAGCTGATCAAGACCTGGGGCCAGGAAGGCATGTCCTCACAAGAGATGATAATGCACACTGGGGTGGCACAGAAAGGGTTTTGTATGCACCAGAGGCAGGATAACTGGCTAGATCAGCCACTGCTCTGTTCCAGCACATCACCAGGTCAGATTGCAGAACCGCCTGGCCAGTTATTTGAGCTGACATGTCAGGAAGTGCCACAGTGGACAGATGAGTCGTTGATCTATTCCAGGGCAGGGATACCAGCCTAGAGGCCTGTCTCTTCCCCTCCCCACCTCCGGCTTGCCCCACAGGAGAGGCGCGCATGTCCCATCCCCCCAAGCACTCCCACCTCTATACTCACCAGTCCAGGCCATTCTGCAGGTAAGAGGAGCCACTTGGCGTGGGGCCCTTTTGTGCAAGTGCCGGAGGGCGTGGTTCTGGGGGAGACAAACAGGTCAGTGCCAGTGGAGTGCAGATTCCTGGAGGGACAGGCAAGGGATTGTGTGTTCCCGCAGGGCACCACCCCGGAGCCCAATACCCTCCACCCCGCTTGCTCTCTGTGCACAGGGGGCTGCAGGGCCCGGTGAGGGCCTTCCCAGGGGGGTTTCCCCTGTGAACACCCCAAGCCCTGCTCCCTATGAACATGGGGGCAGGGACTGGTGAGGGGAGCTGTGGTCCCTATGGACACCCCAAGCCCAGTTCCCTATGAACAGGGGGCAAGAAGCTGTGATCCCTATGAAAGTCCCAAGTCCTGCTCTCTATGAACAGTGGTTGCAGACAGGGGACTCCCAGGCCCTGCTCTCTGTCCCGATGTTAAAGGACTTGATACTTCCCGTCCCCAGCAAGCTGGATGTGATGCTTACCCGTGCAGTGGTGGAAATCCCAGTCCAGCTGCGGTTCTGGAAGAGGAGGGAGATTGGTGTGAGCAGATTCCCAGACAGGGCAACGTCTGGTGTGGCACATGCTGGGGGTGCAGAAATCAGCTCCTCAGCGTGGGTCCTTCCCTCCCCTGTCTGCCGGGAGGCAGGCTCCCTCACCCAACCCAACAAGCAGGGCAAGGGGGAAGGCCCTTGGGAATTCTGGGAGCAGCCAGGATGTGGCCAGGAACAGGCACAGGGGAGTGGGGCGGTGGGGATAAGGATAAGGAGAGACACATGTGGCAGGGGAGCTGGCAGAATGACAGACTCGTTACATGCCACAGGACGGGGGGAGGGAGGAGGAGGGCACGAGAGGTGCGTGGCTGCTGCAGGAAGGCCCCTGCACCTAGCATGTGGCTCTACGGGGAGCTGAGGGAGGAGGTGACCTTACCTGGGAGCTTGCGGTGGATCTGCTGGAACATGCTCCGGTACCAGTCCCGGGGCCTGTCCACACTCTGCCGTGGGAAGCAAACACACAAGGCGTCAGGAGCAGCAGCCCTGCAGCAAGGAGACTAGGGGGGAGCAGAAAGCTACAGCGGGGTCGATATGCCATGGCTGGGGGGGCAGGGCAACTGGCCCTAGCCAGGTGTCAAATGATGGCCAGGACATTGCATTTAACTCGTATGCAAAAGACGCCACCTCCTGCTGCACAGCGCCCCCTAACACCGCACTGGGACACTGAGGTCAGTACTGGCTGCAAGGGGAGAGTGCCTCCTCCTGAGCCCCCTACCCTTCAGCACCGCGCCCCTTTGCACCGCACTAGGGCACTGGGATCAGAACCGACTGCGAGGGGCCAGCACCTCCTACACGCTTCCCCTCCCTGCAGGCCAGCCCAGCAGTGGGGTTTCTATAGGCCCGTTAAACCCACTCCCGCCCTGGACTCACGGATCGCGATGCGATCGGCATCCCCGTCTCATCCACCGGGCCGATCCCGTCGTACTTCACCCATCGCTTGTCCTTCCTCTTGCTATCCTTGGTCCAGGTGGCAGACCAGGGGGCTGCGCGGGGCACAGGCGGCGGGCCGTTCTCCAGGGGGCTCATTGCCGACTCAGCTGGGAGGGGAACAGGCACTGCCTGGGAACTCAGCGGCTTCGTTTCTTTGGCAGGCCAGGTCTGGTACCAGTCGCTCGCTGCAGGCAAGGTGGGGAGAGACAGAGAGAGAGAGATGGGGTTCAGGGCATGGGCAGTCCAAGACTTATGCTATATGCCAGAGGGCCTGGGCGGTGAGCACAATGGCAGCCCCATTGATAACAGGGCCCATGTCCCCTGGACAGACACAGGGGCTGACAGACAGACTGCCACACCAAGTGTCCAGGTGTGGGGCCAGGAGTCCAGGGACCCCAGAACAGCCACGTTATTTTTAATGGGAGGCCCCAGCTCCCCACTCAGCGTCTCTTCCCCACCACTCTTTAAATGCAGTGCTGGGAAAGGCGGATCCGAGTCCCTGCTCTGTGAGCTCTGGGGGCACCCCACACCGTGAGCACCAACCTCCCGCAAGCAGGGCTGTGGTGGCGATGGGCTGCTCCAGGTGGGGACGTGCCTGGATCCTCTGACTGCCTGGTACTATCCAGCCCAAGAAGGGGGCACATCCGTTCTGGCACTAAGGGCCCACACCTCTCTCCCTGCCCCCTGCCAAAGGTGCCTCTCCAGGCTGGCTGCCCCCTGCTTCGTTAGTCAGAGCTGGTCTGGAAGAGAAGCTGGGCCGAAACCTGGCACAGGGAACGGCCTGGATTTGAGGTTCTTCTGTTTCTCAGCCCCTGAGAATTCTCTGTCCTCCTGGGGACCTCCAGCTTGCAGGCTGACAGCCGCTGCTAGGGGGATGCACTGAGACAGCTGCACCTTGAGATCTGGGCATCCAGTCACGTGGCCCATGGTCCCCAGAAACAGAGCTGGCTGGAAAGGGCTTTTGAGCCAAAAGGGGCTCTCCCGGGTCTCTGTCTGAGCCCGGCACTGTGCGGCACCGTCCCTGTCTGGAGTTACCTGAGCTCCTGGGGGCTGCTCTCCTAGGCTCGACGGTGCCATTGCACGCTGTGCGGGGAGACGTGTCATGGAACTCAAAGTTCAGGGTGTTGGAGCCGCAGTTACGGATCACGGGCACCTATGGGGGAGGGAAACAACATGGTTCTGCTGTGCAGGGTGCAGACATTGGGCACCAAGGAGTCAGAATGCAGGGGAGTCAGAGGCCATGGCACAGAGGGCACTGGGAAGTGTGGGTTACAGCAGGCATGGGGGAGTTGAGGGGCAGAGGAGTCACAGCACACTGGGTGCCAGGGAGCCGGTGCTGGGGTGATTAGAGGGCAGCAGGTGCCAGAGAAGTTGAGGCCTCAGTTTCCCCTCTCTGATTTTAGAACTAGCAGCACACAACAACAGGTGGGGAAGGAGTCTGGACTTGGAGTGGGGGCTGAATGTATTTCCTGCCTGCCCCTCCATAGACATGGGCCCCAACACTGCACAGCAAAGAGACTCCCCGTAGAGCTTTCCACCCCCACGTCACCGGTTCAACTCTGGCCTAGGCTGGCCGGCACCAAAACCCATCACTGTCCAACGACCGCTCAGCGGCCCCAGGGGGAGGCCAATTGGGTGAGTCTCAGCCCAGTGGGCAAAGCATCTACAAGACAAAGGCCACCGTCCCCATCGGCACCAGTCACCCCCTTCATGGGCAGCCCCCGGGGAAGGGCCAAGGGCTGAACGGGCCTGAGGGACTGCTGGCTGGGGTGAGACACACGGGTGGGGCAATGTGTGGGGGAAGCCTCGTGCTGCCTGGGCTGTCCCTGCAAGGTCAGTCCTGCCCATCTGGTCCCAACCACTGCCTTTGGGCCAGAGACCCTGCAGGGACAGCAGGGCTGCTAGCTTAGGCGGCTCTGACTCCAGCACTGCTCTCCCCATGCTGTGTAAGCAGCGCCCCCAGCTCCAGGGCAGGCATGCCATCGCTCCAGACAGGGCAGGGCAGGACAGGCTCCACTCACCCTGGGTCCTCTGTGTCGCAGCGGGACCCACGGGGACGGCTGAGGGGATGTGGCTATGGGGGCTGCCGGGCTCCTGGCAGCAGGAAGGAATTCCCTCTTCTGGTGGTGGGATGGGACAAAGTCTTTCAAGCTGAGGCCCTGGGGCCCCTCAGGGTTCAGACAGCCCCCTGCCATGGCACGGGGGGGTGGAGAGGAGAGACGGTGAGGAAAGCAGCCGCTGCCCCCTGCTCCTGCTGGATGTGCTCTGTCTCTCTCCTGGAGGTGGGGATTCCCAGCTGCCCTGAATGTCCCCTGCAGGGGAGTGGGAAGAGAGAAGTTGCCGAGGAACCCTTTCTGTGCAGCAGGCTCCGGTCCCCAGCCATGCAGCAGAGGATCCAGGGGTCGCACCTGTGGGAGAGGCAGGAATGAGATCACTGTTGATGAAAGTAGGGGGCTGACAGAGCCAGGTGCTGGGCACGTTTCTACCACCATGCACCAACACCCAGCCAGTGCCCCTCAGTCCTGTTCCGGGCCTGGCTCTCCCGCCCAGCTCTACTGGTCCTGTCCTGCAGTGCCCCACCCCCGTTCAAGCTCTGGACCCCCTCCTGGCTCCCATGGGTCCCTCAATCCCAACCCTGAGCCCCTCCTGCTATTCCAGCCTGGAGCTCCCCGCACCAAACAGCTCTGCTGTTGCCTCTCAGGCCTGCCCTACAGTCCTCTCCCTCCATTTCCTGAGCCGGGGGCCACACCTTTGCAGTGTTTGTTGTGTGTGGAACTAAGATGTGACTCCCCTGAGCCATCCCCGCCAGGGCCCTGTGCTGGGAAGGGACCGGGGCCCAACGCTCTGATTCCTGAGCAGCAGGGCCAGCTCCAGGCACCAGCCCAGCAAACAGGTGCTTGGGGCGGCACGTCAGGCTCTTCGGCAGCAAGTCTCTCAGTCCCTCTCGGAGGGAAGGACCTGCCGCCGAATTGCCGCCGAAGAAGAAAGCGGTGCAGTGGAGCTGCTGCCGATTGCAGTCTTTTTTTTTTTTTCGCCGCTTGGGGCGGCAAAAACCCTGGAGCTGACCCTGCTGAGCAGACGTTCCCTCGCCACCTCGCTTTGCAACCGTCATCGCCCCAATCCAACTGCCCGCCCGCGAGCAGCCCCAGGCCATCAGCACTGAGCACATGGCGACAGGCGCAGCTGGCGGGGGAGAGACATCAAGCGGGTGCGGTGTTGCTGGAGCATGCGGGCGCACAGTCACAAGGGGAGTCAGTGGCAGAGCCGGGAATAGGACCCAGGAGTCCTGGCTCCCATGCCAAGATCTATTAGGGCCTAGGTTGTCCCAGCAAAGGACTGTTGCCAGCAGATGGCTCTAGCTACCTTGGCTCTAGTACAACCGCATCCCATGCTCCCAGGGGAGCCTGTTCCACTGCTCAGGCCGCTTGGGAGCGTTTCCTGTTATTCGCACATAGACACCGCAATGGTAAAAACAACACGAGCTCAGTGGAATCAACGCCTTACGCTCCGGGGCTGCAGTGTCCCACATCCGGCTGCCTGGAACGCCATGGCTGTCTCATGCCTCTCAGCTGCCTGGAATCACGGGGCAGGAGGGTGGAGCACGGAGGTCAGCACAGCAGGGCTCTGCAAAACAGAGGGAAAGAGATGTGACCTGAGCCTGAGCCAGGATGGAGGGCAGCACAGAAACTGGTTTCGCTGGTTGGGAAATTGGGCTCCAGTTTGCCCGTCCCTGTTCATTCTGCCCCCATCCAGAGGCCGGATTCACTGCCTCGCAGCCTCATGCCTCTACCAGAGCTGCCTGGAACTCAGGCTGGTGAGGGCACCTACGGCACCAAGCCAATAGCCAGCCAGGGCTTTGGGGCAGCAACATCGTGCTCCAAGGGCAAGACGAGACCCAGTGAAGCAGCATTAGAGTCCTGCATGCAGAGGCAAACTGGGGCTCTAAGGGTGGGAGAATCCAACAGAGCTGGGGGGCAATTTGAGATGGCTTCTGTTTCCTTCCTTCCCAGCTACGGGACGCAGCAGGGGAGAGCCTCTGAGTCCCAACTCCAGAGAGATCCTGGCCACAGCTGGGTGCCAACCCGTCAGCACTGCACTCTTGGGAAACAAAGCCCCATACTTCCGCCCTCCCCCCGTGACTGGTGGGTGTCCACCGTGAGGTCAGCGCCGGCCCCCTTTCTTTGCCAGAGCAAAAGTTGTCTGGCCTTTCCCTGCTGCTATGACAATGCCACGGCCTTGTATTCAGCCCTGAACAACAAGCTACAGTCTGAGCTGCTGCCAGGCTCCATCGTCATGGGAGTGGCAGAGCTGTCTGGGGGCAGCGCTGGGTTAACAGAAGGGAGGTGGCAGTGTCTGGGGCCAGGGCTCACAGGGAACGATCCATGGTGGGCGGGAGGCGGGGCTGAGATGGGAATAGGAGAGCCCCGATCTCCAGGCCAAGTTCGATGGAGTGGGAAGCGCAGACCCATAGCCTAACCCCTCTTGCTCAGGAAGAAGCCTTCCACCACAGCCAGAAGGGCCATGGACTTGTGGAGCAGGGGACGAGGAGAAGCTGGGGTGCCCACACACACACCTGGTGCTGTTCCCAGCATCCATGCCCATTCTGCACAGGAGCAGAAATCCACTTCAGACGCTTCTCCTCCCTGGCCCCCCGCAGCTGCACAGTCCCGACAAGGGGGCGCCTTAACCAACTCTTTCCGGGAAGCCAGCATGCTTCCCTCAGCCCTGTTCTGCCTGCACAGTCATCGGCACAGCAAGCATAGGTGCAGGCTAGAACACCAGATGCAACAACGTGGTGTTATTTATATAGCAGCCACAGGGCGCCCGGACTTTTACAGACAGAGCCTTGCCCTGAAAACCTTGCAATCTAAGGGGGAAATACACTGTTTCCCAGGCTTTTCCAGCCAACAGAAACACAGCCGCTCACATGGGACTCCAGCTCAGCCCATGTGCGGACTACAACTCATTAACCCTGTAGTTGCTGGATTAAAATAACTGCACAAAGAGACTGACAGAAGGAGCCAGGTCAAAGTGAGGATATTGAGACTGGACGAGGAGCCTGGGAGCCAATGGGAATGGGGAACATCGGTGGGGGGGGGTGAGTGAAGGCTGGTGGAGGGTGGGGGGAAGAGATGAAGAGCCAGGAGGAGGCAACTGGGATTGGCTGGGCAAGTGGCTTCAAGGAGCCAAGGGGTGGAAAGGTAAATTGGGCAGGGCTGCGCCAGGAGACTGGGACTGGGATGAGAAGCTTCAGTAGTGGAGACTTGGACTGGCTAGGTGAATAGAATTGGATGAGGAGTCAGGGGTGCAGAAAAGACAGGACTGGTTGGAGGGGAATGGGCCCACTGCAACGCACTCCCCTCCAGGGCCTGGAATGGAATCCAAGAGTCCTGGTCCATCTGGAGGATGACAACCTACTACTGCTATCAGTCACTCCGTTAGCTCAAGCAGCAGACATCTGCGTGGTGGATCTAAAGGTTCCCTACGGTCTTTGATGACATGATCACATACTATTGTGTGTGAGTACGTGTACATAACGCTACATAAAAGAGAAAAAACAAAACCCATTAGTAACTGACGGAAACAGACACCAAAACATTGTAGTATTTGTGGTTGCATCTGTTTGTTACTGTTTAGTAAAGCCCTCTACACAAACACACACTCACCCTGTCTCTTTTATCTCCCTCGCCCACACTGGCAGCTCTCTGGCAGCACGCAGGGAGATGCAGCTGCCAGTTCCCACCCCGCGGTTTTACCCTGCATCCTTGAGCCCAGATGTCTCTGGCACTGTGGCTGTTAACTCAGCAGGGGGTGAGCGAGAGGGGGAGAAAATGGAGAGGGAAGAAACCAGCCTGAGGAAAAGCGACTCTGGCCAGATCTGCCCCCATCTTCCAGCCACCAAGAAACCCAGCTGGGATTCCCCTGCGGGCAGTACCGTCTCAGCAAAAAGCTTTCTCCCCAGACACGGTCCTTAATGCAGACCAGTCTCTCTCTCTGTTCCCAGCCAGCTTGCTGCTGCCGTCTTGCAGCCTTGCTCAGAGGCCGGGAAGGGGGACCCCAGGTGGGTACCCAGATGCCAATGCCCAGGGCAGAGTGGAGAGGCAGGACCACCAGGAGGATCCGTTATTCCCCACCGGCATCTGAGATTGCCACCAACTCATCCGTGCCTGCGGCTGCAGCTCCAGCTAAGGCGGGGGAGGGCGGGGGAGGAAGGGGTGTCTGCTTGCCTTGTACAGGGCCAAGTCTCCCCCACTGCTGGGATGGGGGGCGGGTACGGAGCTGGAGTCTCCAGTGCATGGAAACCACATTCACTAGGGCATGCGCTCACTGTTCCCGGACCAGTCTGGGCAGGAGCCCTGGCACCAAGATCTGAGCAGTGCCTTCCCCATGAGTCCCCCTCTGACCTCCCTGCTCCCCTTCCTGGGAGGGGACACCCCTTCCTTTAACCTCAGCACCCCCATCCCGCCAGCTGGGCACCCCGTGACTCCAGGGATAGTCCCTCAGGCTGGATGAAACTCGCTGCACTGCTTTAGCTCTGGCAGGAGAATGGGGTGGGGGAGGGGAAAACGTTTGGTGTGCAAATATTTCCAGAGCCAAGTGCCGTTCCAGTGCAAACAGTGCAGAGACAGGCGGGGGGGTGGGGGGGGGCTGGAACAGCGTGTTGGAGCAGGAGAACAATCCGGAGGGGAAGGACAACCCCCCAGCTCTGGGGATGAGTCACTGCTATAAAGCAGAGCCAGGCCTGGCACTGCACCAAGGGCAGGGGAGCAGGAAAGGGGGAGTGTGTCCCAGTGTCTCTCACGCTGCTCCGCTCTTCCCAGGCAGAACACAGGTCCCTTAACTAGCCCCTCAACCTGCTCAACATACAGCAGAACCAGGACTCCTGGGTTCGATTTCCAGCTCTGGGAGGAGGAGTGGGGTCCAGCGAGTTAGAGGAAGGGGCTAGGAGCCAGAACTCCTGGGTTCTTTTTCCTGCTGTGCCACTGACCTACTGAGTGATCCTGGACCAGTCACGTTCCCTCTCTGTTCTTCAGTTTCCCCATCTGTGAAATGGGGACAGTATTTATTTCCCCAGGGCACAAGGGGGTTGTGAGAGGTAATGAGTTAATGCCTGTGAAGCACTCGAACATGCCGGTGCTGTGTCGCTGCCATACACACCCCAGACTGCCCCTTGCACTGGAGCAAGGCCTTTGTCTTGATCCAAGAACTACTTACCCAGACACCTGAGCCATCACCCTCCTCCCCTACAGTGCTCCCTCACCTCCCTCACATTGCTCCCCATCCCCCCACCTCCAACCCCACTGCACCCCTTCCTATAACCACCCAACACTGCACCCCATCCCCCCACCTCCAACCCCACTGTACCCCTTCCTATAACCACCCAACACTGCTCCCCATCCCCCCGCCTCCAACCCCACTGTACCCCTTCCTATAACTATCCCACACTGCTCCCCATCCCCCCACCTCCAATCCCATTGTACCCCTTCCTATAACTATCCCACACTGCTCCCCATCCCCCCGCCTTTCCCCACCATTGAGGGGGCAGCGATGAACCCTTTGCAGTTCACCTTTAACAGCTGCTGCTCTCTGGCTGCTCCTGGCTTTGAACCCCAAGGCCAGGGAGCGCCCTGTGGTGCAGGCTGCCAACGCCTTGAGCCGGAGAGAGCAGGACGGGCTCCGAACTGCAGCCGCAGGCCAGTTGCTGCCCTCCTCTCTCCTGAGGCATTCAGTGGCACTGCCCACAGCCCTGCCAGCCTCTTGCCTCTCTGTAGAGGCTGCTTTTGTTACAGCACAGGACAAAGGCATTTGTGGGGGAGGAGGGGAGATTCCTCCTCCAGAACTAGCCCTGGCCAGGGTCTTGGGCCAAGGCCCAGCCTGGGTCCCTGCTCTCCGGCTCACTCACTCCCTGGTGTAGAGGGCACCATTCCCATCCTATCGGACGCAGCTGGGTGAGGCGGTGCCATGGGGATTCGGCACCCAGGGGTGCCCAAGGCAACGCTGGTGCTTGGCACACAGTGGGGAGCGCCAGGTTTGAGGAGGAATGGGCTGGAACGCCACCGGCAGAAAGGGCCCATCTCTGTGCTTTCACCCTGGGGCAGCTAGCCACGCACTCTTCAACTCTCACTGCTCCCATGCCCAGCCAGTGCCCACACCACTCTCACCATCCTCATGCCCAGCCAATGCTTGCACAGTGCAAAACTCTAACTAACTCTCATGGTGCCCAGGGCCGGCTTTAGGAAGTGCGGGGCCCAATTCGAACATTTTTGGCGAGGCCCTGGCAGGATGACTAACAAAAAAAAACAAAACATGTAAAAAAAAGCCTTTGATTTCTTCCACGTATTATTTACTTTCCATAACTATATAAATAATAAAATTATATATTATGTACATTGCGTCATGTATGCTGTTGATCGGTTATTAAATGAGCTCTGTTTCACATGTGTGGGTCCCCGCCACTCCCTGGGGGTGTGCTAGGGTGACCAGATGTCCCGATTTTATAGGGACAGTCCCGATTTTTGGGTCTTTTTCTTATATAGGATCCTATTAACGCCCCCCCCCCCCGTCCCGATTTTTCACACTTTCTGTCTGGTTACCCTAGTGGTGTGCACATGTGTGGGTCCCAGCTACTCCCTGCCCCCCTCATTGAAGCAGGTGTGCAGGGTTACTGCCCTGGGAACTGCAGGGAACCAGTGGACATGGGGTTGGCTGGAGGCAGGGCAGGGGCTGACTGGAGGTAGGGTCTGGCTGCAGGCAGGGCAAAGGGTGCAGGGCTGGCTGGAGACGGGGGTGCAGGGCTGGCTGCAGGCAGGGCAGGGGGTGCAGGGCTGGTGTGGGCAGGGCAGAGGGTGCAGGGCTGGTGCGAGCAGGGGTGTGTGTGGGGTTGGCTGGCTTCAGGCAGGGCCGCAGGGGGGTGCAGCAGGGGTTGGCTGGAGACAGGGCAGAGGGTGCAGCAATGCTGTGGGCAGGGGGTGCAGCAGGGGCTGGCTGCGGGCAGGGGGTGTAGGGCTGGCTGCAGGCAGGGTGGGGGGTGGGTTGGTGCAGGCAGGAGGTGCGGGGCTGGAGGCAGGGCAGGGGGTGCAGCAGGGGCTGGCTGCGGGCAGGGCAGGGGTTGCGGGGCTGGTGCGGGGAAGGGGTGCAGCAGAGGGCGGGGGTGGCCCCG